TCTCAGGTTCTGTTTGGCTGAAATGAAACCAGTTTGCTGAACGTTTGAATGTTTTTCTGCTCAGTTGGAGGAGCAGAGAGTCGGGCTGGGAGGACGAGATGAAGATCCAGGAATTCAGCAGAAGATGGAAGATCAGAATCTGAAGGAGGACAGAGCAGAACCTGCAGGATCCATCAGTCCGTCTGTGAGGACTGACCGGTCCAAACCAGAACCTCCAGACTTCATGATTGAACCTAGACCCTCAGACAGAAAGTAAGAAACCAGTTTCTATCTGATTCATGTGGATCTATAGAGATCAAAATAAACGATATGAACTGATTGATCTGCAGTGTTTGATAAAAAGTCACTTCATTTTCTTACATATTAATTTAAATTTAACCCTCCTTTATGTTCGTGGGTCAATTTGAGTGTTTAATCATGTAAATATGAAAGAAAAATATTTTCAAGAAAGTGTCTGTCTGTGTGTGTAGTTACATTGTGTCACCACAGGAGGGCAGTACAGAGTGAGTAACTGACAAAAAACAAACCCAAAATGTAAATAATCTTCAGTTTATTACTGTGTTCAAATATTTTTTAAAAGCTTCTTTGACTTTTACATTTTATTAATTGTTCTGTAGATGGTTTTATCTTTGCTGGATGTCCTGATCTCAGCCGCCTGAGTTTTATCACTGATGTGATTCCATCAACATCATGTTTGTAGTGTTTTTAGACTTTGATTCTCAAAATTACTCACAGTTAATATTTCTACAAGGATTTTTACTGAATAAAATGGAAACGTTTTCTTTTCAATCACTATATTTCCATTAAGAGTAACAAGAAAATATTACTATTTCTAAGTAGCTGCTGTTGTCTGAATTATTTTAGTAATACATTTCCATCTCTAATAACATGCAAGTACAAAATATATAGATTAATAGGTACAGGATTAAGTCAATGTATGTTTAGTCATCAGAAACTCCTTTGTGAAAAGTTTAAAGTTTATCAGTTTTGTGATGGTTGAGCTCCTCTTAAAGCTCGTCTTAAAACCCATCTATTTTACTTGGCTTTCAACTCTAGCGAGATCTAGTTTTACATTGTATGTTTGTTTGTTTTAAACTGTAAGAGTTTTTATTTGTTTTTATCTATTTTATGTACAGCACTTTGTATCAGCTGTGGTTGTTTTAAAGTGCTTTATAATTAAAGTTGGTATGGTATAAGTTCATACTGCCCTCTGGTGGTGAATTGTCATAACTACAGACATTCTTCAAGGACATTTTTCAGCCAGATTTATTGTTCCTTTATTGTAATGTTCACTCTTATCAAGTCAGATCAGCATTTGTTAATGCCGTTAAATAAAAGTGACTGCAGGATTTTATTCATTCTGACTTTTACCAGAAAAACGTCCTTTAAAGAGTTTAATACAGAAGCTTTATTTTATTATTTAAAACTGTCTTCATTACAACAGTAACATCAAACAGTGAATTAAAAGATGTCATAATAAATTTGAGTCAGAAAACGGTTGATAAACTGTTAGTTTTTCTTTATATAAATTGGATATTAAATGTAAATAATGCAGCATTATCAGGACTGTAGTTCCCACTATGACCACCAGAGGGCGGAAATACCCCGCTCTGAATATAGAGATCAGTTTGTAGAGCTGCAGCTGGATTCTGACTTTCTGTTAAGTTGATCACGTTTATATCTTTCTCATTATAAATATTAATATTAGCATGGTCTGTCTAATGGACTGACAGTGATTTAATAGATACATGTGTTATTTATGTTTACATAACACGTCTATATCATAAGTAAATCACAGTTCAGTTTCCTGAAGAAATAAATAACTAGTTTGTTCGCCAACATGGTGAGTTTCCGGTTTAGAGTCAGGAGAATATTTATGAAAATTGTATTTTTCTAGAAAACAGAATAATTGTGATGATTTTGCTTCGAAACACTATTTTACTATTTATATCACACCCTAAGAAATTTACACAGTCATGCTTTCTGTTAAAATAATTAAGAAGCTAAATAGAACTTACAGGTGAATTTAGTTAACTGTGTTTTACTTTGGAAAATACCTTTTGTATTAAATTTTTCTCCATTAGATATTTTCATCCTGCTCTATATTCTGATCTCAGCGGGTTGGATTGATCACAGCACATTTTATTGTTTCTATTTTTCAGGCTTTGATTCTCAAATTTATTGACATTTAATCTTTTGGGAGGATTTTTGTGAAGTAAGTTTAATTTTCTTTTCCATTTATTAACCCTGCAGTGACTTTTTAACAACATTAATTAATTTAAGTTGATTTTATTCAACCTGATAAAGTGAAATGACGTCATCAAATCATTGTTGAGTAATAAATAAGAGGAATATGATGATTCACCACTAGAGGGCAGTGAGCGCTCATAATCAATCCTCCACCAAAACCTGTTTGTTCTGCTGGTTTTCTGCTGAATCCATGAAAAAAGCTGCTCAGCTTCGGATCTGCTTCACTAAAAGCAAAATCTAAATACTGAAGGTTTTCAATCTTTATTCTAGTTTTGTTGTTTCACTCTGTGAGTCACGTGACGCCACGTGGAAAAGAAACTGAAAGCAACTTTGGTTTCCTTCAGAACATCGTCCATTTTGAGTCGCAGGAGGGAAACAACTTGTAAATAACAGTAAGTGTTGCCGCTCCGTGTTTCTCCAGGTCTCTCCGGGTTTCTCCGTATCTCTCTCGGCTCTCTGGAGTCTTTCTAACCGATGAATCACAGCAGCTTCCTGGATTCTCCACCACCGGGTCGCTCGGCTCTCCTGTTTACTTTCTTAAATGTCTGATCTAGACAGGAATTAGTCAGAGGTTAAATAAAATGCTTTATTGTGAGCATTTCACAATTTCACTTCACTAATAGTTTGATTTGTGATAATAACACTGTTACTGATGATTGACACATTTGTGGGGTAAAAATAAAGATAATATTTATCTGTAGGAGTTCTTCTTGCTTTGTAAAATATTATTACTCAGGGGTGATACTCTGTGTTTACGGTTCACTAAAAATGTTTTCCTGACAGTCACAAAAATTCCCATTAAATTCCATATGAAATGAATGAGGGTCATTTTTGACCCACTCAAAGGGGTCGAAATATAAAACATGCTATTTATTCAAATGTATGAAAGGTCAATCAAAATTTATTTGCATGATATCAGTGACATATTTTAGGAATATCTGGAATATGAAGCGATAAAAACATCACTACAAAGATATTGCAAAAAGATGACATCACCGGGTCAAAAAGGACCCTCTTAGGCATCAGAGGGTTGACCTGGTGAGTGGTCAACTCTATGATACAACTTTTTAAAACTAATTAAAAATACTTTTTTTCTTTTTAGCTTTTAACCCAGAGTGAGCTAAGATCTCTGTCTTAATGCTGCGCTACTTGAATTGGTGATGTTTTGATTTCTATTTTCTTACAGTTGCTTTAATGTTTTTTATTTTTGTACACTTTGATCAGCTGCAATATTGTACTTCATGAGCTTTAGAATAAAGTGGTATGGATTTACCATGACAGCAGCACCAGCATCTAAAGCTGACCTGTTTGTGTAGAGTGTGCAATAATGAACATTTCAAATTTAACCTAAATAAATTAAAGTAACTTTTTACAGTGCATCAGTGTTCTTGATGCAGGAACTGTCAGTGTAAAACCTCTGCTGTTTAACCTAAAAAAAAAGAACAGAACATTGTAAACTAGTTTCTCTGCTTGTTTAAATCAGCAGAAAGTGAATCACATCACTCCGTCCCTCAGCAGTCTGGGGTTCAGCAGAAACATGTTTTTCTTATCTGTGGATCAGAACCGGCTTTATGCAGTCCACAGATTTTCTCTCTTCCTCTTCACTGAGATTCGTCTTTTTCCAGGTTTTCCTCTTGTTGCTTCTTACAGCAAGTAGAAAGTCTTTGTCTCTCAAAGCTCTGCTGGAAAACTGCATGTAGATCCAGACTGACTGATCCAGGACCAGTTGCCAACTCAACAAAAGAAATTGTTTAGGCTAAAATCAGAATCAGGAGGTCAGGCTTTTTAAAGTTCAGTGATCGGCCTGAAAACTGCAATCGGTGCACCCCTAAAATAACTTAGTAATATCTTTAAATGGAGCAATAATAATAATTTAACACATTTTATATCAATTATATAATTATATTTATATCAAATTTTGCATTAAATCAAATCAAATTTGATTTGCATGGCACATTTCAGCAGCAAGGCATTTCAAAGTGCTTTACATCATAAACACAAGAACACAAAGTCATGCAACATAGAATAGACAATACATTGTTACATATTACATTAAATGCCTCTTTATATTGAATTTCTATTCTGAGACAAATCAATTGACTAAATATGTTTCAGGCCTCGCTGAGTGAGGGGGGCTTCATCCCCCTATAAAACCAGCTGTTTACCCATGATTCCTTGCAGTTGATCCAGCTGGTATTTACCCATGATTCAGTGAGTCCAGCTGGTGTTTACCCATAATTCCTTGCAGTGGGTCCAGCTGGTATTTACCCATGATTCCTTGCAGTGGGTCCAGCTGGTATTTACCCATGATTCCTTGCAGTGGGTCCAGCTGGTATTTACCCATGATTCCTTGCAGCAGGTCCTGCTGGTATTTACCCATGATTCCTTGCAGCGGGTCCAGCTGGTACCTCAGCTGGATGCTGTGGTCCCTGAAAGCTGCTTGTGACTCTTTATCTGAGAGGAAATCCTGCTGAGCTGCACACAGAGGCTGACATGTTGCTGAGATCCCAGCTGGACCCGGTTCTGTCTGGAGGAGAGCTGTGGACCCGACCTGAGCTGGTGCTCCCTCAGAACCTCCTGAACACTGACTCCCTCCATACAGATTTACAGTAGAGCCAAATGTTCACTTCTTCATTCACCTGATTCACTCTGATCCTCTGAACACATGATGGGAACCAGCTTTCTGCTCCAGTTACTGGAACTGGATCACTGGGACTGACTGGTTCTGGTTTCTCTCTCAAAAGGTCCAGAAGATGGAAGATCTGGATCTAAAAGAACCTCCAGGATCCATCAGTCCATCTATGAGGAGTGACTGGTCCAAAGAAAACAATCCAGACTTCAGTAATGAACCTGGACCCTCAGACAGAAAGTAAGAAACCAGTTTCTAACTGATTCATGTGAATCTATAGAGATAAAATATAAATTAACTGGTTGATCTCAGTGTTTCAATAAACAGTAACTTAATTTTCTTACTTATTAATTTAAAGTTAGACATGAAGGATGTTGGTAAGTAAATCAGTTTGAATGAATTAATATGAATTAAAATGTTGCATGAAAACAAAAACATGTGAGGAGCAACAATTCAGATTGTCTGTAAACCCACTGAAGCAGTGAAACCAGCATCTTCCAGACTGGGAACACTGGCATCAGTCATCATACCAAATATAATTCAATGAAGTACTTAAAACCAGAAATCATCAATGTTCTGAGGTTCTGTTCTGACCCAGTTTCTGGTCCCTGGTTCTTTGTGGACCTTCATGAACATGTTCAGCTCCAGCCTGTTGCTAGTGAATATTTCAGTGATGAAGAAATGTCTTCACAGGAGGAGCTTTAGTGAGGAGGAGCTTCCATCCTGCTGTGGTTTGGGTCAGAATGTTCTGATGGATCCAGGCTGTACCAGCTGCCCCCAGTATGGGAAACAACCCAGAACAGGATCCAGACTGACAGCCAATCAGAGCAGCCGTGCTCCAGGTGAGACTGAACATGTCCAATCAGAGCTTCTTCCTTCCAGATCCACGTCTTTAGTTGAGATTTGGACATTTAAGGTTTAAAAGTCTTTTTGTGATCAGTTGTTTCAACTGAATCTGTCTTTTTCCAGCTTTTGTAACTGGAACTTATGTCTCAGTAACTCGGCTTAAGAAAGTCCTCATTTAATTTTTGACAGCTCAAAAAATGGCCAGAAGATAAATGTTCAAATTTGACTTTTTATTTTGTTTTTAAAATTATAACTTTTAATGTTCCATCTAGATGTTCTCAAATTGATTGCCAAATAACTGTTACCTGAACTTTGGTCAAAGCATCATGTTCTGCTAATACTGCAGACACTTCACAGTCAGATAATGACTGAGATTCCAGTTCACTCAATGGGGCCTGAAGGTTTTGGTGGTTGACAAAACAAGATTACAGACTTTGCAGACTGACCAGGGCCGGACCAAGCCTCAATGTAAACTCAATGTTTACAGTTAACAATATTCACCCCACTGTAGCCAACTCACTGACTCTCTTCCTATATTTAGCAAAATTTCAAAACAAAACAAAAAAATGGTATCGACGAAAATCAAAATCGGCAGATCAGGATTTCAAAGCATAACTCCAAGAGCTAAAAATTTTATTTACACCAGGTCAGTCTTTCTTCACTGAAAGGTGGCCCTAAGCTGCTAAGTTTGCTTTGCCTTGGGCCGGCCCTGAAACTGACATCAGAATAACTTTCATTGATTTTTCTCTAATTATCGAATTATGTTTCCTTCATAGAAATTTATGAAGAAGAACCAAACTGGCCACTTTATTAGTCCAGCAAATTGTTTTTATTTTGTTTGTTTTATTTATTTTTTCAGATATTGTTGGTCTGTATCAGCCTGAACTTAAAGCGTCTCTGAAGATGAAGATCCAAAGTCTCTCTGAAGGCGTCGCTGAACATGGAAATAAAACCGATCTGAACCAGATCAACCCAGAGCTCTACATCACAGAGGGGTCAACTAGAGAGGTCAACCAGGAACATGAGCTCATACGCATTGAAACAGCATCCAGGAAACAAGAAACAGTCAGAAGAGAAGACATCTTTAAAGTCCCACATGGAGGAGATCAACCAATCAGAACAGTGATGACCATGGGCGTGGCTGGCATTGGGAAAACACTGTTAACACAGAAGTTCACTCTGGACTGGGCTGAAGGCAAAACCAACCAGAACATTGATTTCATATTTCCATTCACCTTCAGAGAACTGAATTTACTGAGAGAAGAAAAGTTCAGCTTATTAGAACTGATTCATGAACGATTCACTAAAACCAAAGGAATCAGCAGCTTTGAATCGTTCCAGGTTCTGTTCATCTTTGATGGTCTGGATGAAAGTCGATTTAATCTGGATTTCAACAACAAGGAGATCCTGACTGATGTTACAGAGTCCAGCTCAGTGGATGTTCTGCTGACAAACCTCATCAGGAAGGAACTGCTTCCCTCTGCTCTCCTCTGGATAACCACACGACCTGCAGCAGCCAATCAGATCCCTGCTCAGTGTGTTGACATGGTAACAGAGGTCAGAGGGTTCACTGACCCCCAGAAGGAGGAATACTTCAGGAAGAGATTCAGAGATGATGAAGAGAAGGCCAGCAGGATCATCTCCCACATCCAGAAATCCAAAAGTCTCCACATCATGTGTCACATCCCCATCTTCTGCTGGATCACTGCTAAAGTTCTGGAGAATGTGATGGAGACCAGAGAGAGAGAGAAACTACCCAACACTCTGACTGAGATGTACATGGAGTTCCTGCTGGTTCAACTCAAAATCAAGGAGGAAAAGTATGATGGAGCTGAAAAGAACAGGAAGCTGATTGAGTCTCTAGGAAAACTGGCTTTTGATCAGCTGCTGAAGAGAAACCTGATCTTCTATGACAAAGAGCTCACACAGTGCGGCATCAACATCCAAGATGCTGCGTTGTTCTCAGGAGTTTTCACTGAGATGTTTAAAAGAGAGAGAGGGACACGCGACGTCTCCGTCTACTCCTTTGTTCATCTGAGCATCCAGGAGTTTCTGGCTGCAGTCTACATGCTCCACTGCTTCACCAGCAGGAAGTCAGAGGAGATCAAGATGCTCCTGCGAGACGAATACAGAGAGACATCTCTAGATGACTTCATGAAGAAAGTCATGTATAAATCTCTCAGCAGTAAAAATGGCCACCTGGACCTGTTTGTCCGCTTCCTTCATGGTCTCACTGTGGAGTCCAACCAGAGAGTCTTAGAAGATCTGCTGGGTCAGACAGAGACCAGTCCAGAAACCATCCAGAGAATCATCACCAACCTGAAGGAGATGAACACTGATATAATCTCTCCTGCCAGAAGCATCAACATCTTCTACTGTCTGGTGGAGATGAACGACGTCTCATTTTATCAGGAGATCCAACGGCTGCTGGATTCAGGGAAGAAGCTCTCAGAGACTAACTGTTCAGCTCTGGAATTCATGCTGCAGATGTCAGAGGTTCTGGATGAGTTGGACCTGGAGAAGTACAACACATCAGAATCTGGACGACTGAGACTGGTTCCAGCTGTGAGGAACTGCAGAAAGGCTCGGTGAGTCCAGATGTTTTCATTGTGTGATGCTGATTCAGCTCTATTGTCCTCCTGTTTCTCCAGTGTTGATCTTCATCATCCTCTTCCTCCTCCCTCTAGTTTCCTCTGAGTTTGTAAATGAGACCAAAATGTGGTTTTTGTCGTCTGGTTCCAGAAAAAGTTCTAGTTTCAGCTTATCTGGGACGGCGGTGCTGTAACTTTTGGATTTTAGACATTTGATCATGTTAAAAATATCCCACTGCTTATCAGTTTTCAGACTGAAATAAATAGAAAACCTTGAGAACTCTAAAATCTCTGTTTTCTCTGAAAATTCCAATAAGCCAGAGACACATTTTACACTTTAACTCATCTCCAGTCATTGGGTCGCTGGACCTGCAGAGACATGAGCTTCAACTCTGGAGACATCCAGCCTCTTCTAGTGACTGGAGAACTTTCACTGCTTCACCATGAAATGCTGCTGGACCCAAACGCTCCGTCTCCTCCAGGGGTTTTGCTCTTCAGCTCTTTAGGAGTTTAGCAACAATTTCTCCTGACATCCAAACCTTTGTTCCTCTGAGACAATGGACAGACCACTGCAGAGACATGTGTCCCTCTTCCAACCAGTTTGTCCCAGTTCCTCTCAGATCAACAGTCTGAGAGGACGGTTCTGACCCGAAGGAGCAGCAGGACCGGTTCTGCTGCTGCTCTGCAGGACGACCAGAACAACGTGAAGCTTTTAGCTGCAGCAGGTTGACGACTGTCCACTTTCTACTTTGTTAAAGCATCAAATCCAGCAGATGAACGGAGACAGAACTGGAGCATCATGTGTTTGTTCTGCTCCCAGTTTCCTCTGTGGCAGCATTTAATAACCTGCTGCTGGGAAACATGTTTCTATACAATATATTACTATTATTCATGATGATGCAGCAGATATTGGCTCAACAAACCCAGAGATGCCAGAGGTCCACAGCAGCTGGACTTCCTGTTCTGCTCACTTCATTTAGAACTCACTTCCTGCTTGGTGGAAGATCTAAACGGTCTAGTCCAAGTCAGAGCTGTGAGCAGTTCCTCCTCCTCTCCATCATCTCCAGTCGTTTCCTTCATTCAGCTCAGTCAGCCTCTTCATCAGCTGCTGCAGAGAAACTGAACTTTCCTTCACTGATGATAGAAGATCTTCAACATCTGACTGCAGCTGAAGGTCTGAGGACATGAAGCCTGGACCAGAACCAGAACCAGAACCTGGACCAGAACCAGAACCAGAACCTGGACTCTAACCAGGAACTGCACAGATTCTCTGTGGGGTCAAACTCAGTAGATATTGATCAGATATTGATCAGATGATGATCAGATGATGACATCACTGTTATCATATTTTAGTCTGTTTATAATCCACATTGATTTCATTAGAACTGAATTTATTTCTTCTCTAATCACAGACTTGGTGGCTGTTTGCTCCAAAAGGCTGAATGTGAAGTTTTGGCCTCGGCTCTGAAGTCCAACCCAGATCTGACTGAACTGGTAATAAATCAGATCTACATTAGTTATGGTGGAGACTCTGATATGAAGCATCTGGTTGAGATCCTGGAGAATTCAGTCAGTAAAGTGAAGAAACTGAGGTTTGTTTTCTCTATTTCTGCAATAAAATCATTTATTCATACTTTAATCAATAGTTAATCAATTTAATGTTAATATATATCATTTTAAAACAACATGTTGAAATGTCAGAATAAAATCTCTAAAAACTTTTGACCTTATTAATTTTTTTCTTATTTCAGACTTTGAGATTATTGAACTTTGTTTTTTCAGTTTTTCTCTTTAAAATGTTTTTGATGAACAAAATGAGTAAAATAATTGAAATGCTGTGAATGAATGATGGAGATGTTTCAGTTTGGTAAAGATTCAGATGGTTTTATTTCTGATTCTTTACATCAGAATGAAATGTTGATCCTCCAGAGCCACAAACACTGACGAGTTCAAATCCTCATTAATGAACGTCTAAGAAACCACTGATTGTAGAAAAGCAAATCTAGATGCAATGAATGAAAGTGAGGTTTGCAGCAGCAGCAGGTTCCTCAGCTTTGTCCTGAGGCTGTGGTTCTGTTGGGCCGGGTCAGAGAGGAACCGTCTCCTGAGGAATAATGGCCTCCATTGGCTTTCAGCAGCTTTATTAGGAACCCAAAGGCCATTAATGAAGAACCTGACTGGTTCTGATCCAGTTACCAAGTCGGGTCTGATGATCAGGAACCAGCAGAAATAGCTCAACTCATCCAGGCTGATAGAAAACTATGAGTTTTTTGTTGAACAAATGTTCTGGTTCTGCTGGTTTGGACTCTTTAAACCAGTTTGACTGGATCAGATGTTAGAATCAGTTCATCATGTTTCTTTTACATTCAGGGAAATTAATTTTATACATTTTTATTATTTGTTCATATTTCAGTTTTAACTGCATCCTGTTGGTTCACATCTTTTATTCTTTATTCAGATTGAATCACTGCAGTTTATCAGAGACCAGCTGGACGTCTCTGTTCTCAGCTCTGAAGTCCAACCCGACCCATCTGACAGAACTGGACCTGAGCTGGACCAACCTGGAAGGTTCTGGACTGAAGGATCTCTGTGGTTTTCTACAGACTGAAGGCTGCAGACTGGAGACATTGACGTATTTTAATGATACAATTATTGATATTTCTGTGAATAATTCTATATAATTGATCATAAATCAAAGTTCATTTCTTCTGATCTAATCAATATTTTCTGAGTTTGTTCCTGGATCCAGAGTTTAATTTAGTTTCTCTGTGTAACTGAGTTGGACCTGCTGATCTGAGGTCAGAACAGGACAGCATTCGGACCCCAGTGTGTAGAAATCCCCTCAGGTCAAGCAGGTCAAAGGTCATCCAGTCTTGAAAAGTGAATTCCTGGAATCTGACAGGAACAAATCAATAATCAATGATTGATGCTTCAATACTTTGATCAGAACCTGGAATGATTTTACTGACTAAAATCCTCCAACACATCATGACCCAGTACCAGGTTCTGGTTCTGGTTCTGGTTCTGAAGTCAGCAGGTCTTTATTGGAGCAGCAGCTTGTTGGCATTAATATTCATGAGAATCTTTAACTGGTTCTGTTGGACTGGTTAACCTGCATCCTGTTGGTTCACATCTTTTATTCTTTATTCAGGTTGATTTACTGCAGTTTGTCAAAGATCAGCTGTGATTATTTGGCCTCAGCTCTGAAGTCCAACCCGACCCGTCTGACAGAACTGGACCTGGGAGGAAACAACCTTGACGAATCAGATGTTCATCAGCTGAAAGATCTTGTTGAGACTGTATGGTAAGTAAATGTTTGCAGTGAGTCCAGCTGCTGTCAGCATATTGAACTAAACCCAGTCAGCATCAAAGCAAAGATCCAGTGTTCCCAGTAAAGCTGCAGCTTCTCAGTGGGAGGAGAATGGTTCAGGCTTCCTGATTGGACCCAGCAATCAGCCAATCAGAGGAGCAGCAGCTTGCTGTGTTGTTGCTGTGTCCATGTCTCCAGGACGTCCAGCTGGACTCCAGTGTCCAACATGTCTAGAGACATTGGTCCTCATTCATCAAACAGCAGCAGATCTGATCTCAGACCTGCTTGTTCTCTCAGTTCAACAGGAAACGACTGATCAGGTTCATCTTGGTCACAGCTCTGAGATCAGTCTGACTGGAAACCATCTACTGGATGTGTTGCGTCACTGACTGCTACTGGAAACACTCACTGATCTGCTCTCCTTCCTTCTTCTCTCTGCAGGTTTGATCTCTGTAAAGTAGAGAACGTCTCTGTGTCCTGCTGATCCTCACAGGTTGAAGCTGCAGCAGTTTGAGTCTAAAGAGACTCTGGATCATGATGATGACCTCTGACCTCAAAGATTTTCCTTCTATTTATTTTCTCATGTCTGTCATTTAGTGTCTGATATTGTTTGTCTCTTTGGATCAATAAAGATCCAATTCAAACTGGGCTCCATTTAGAGGCTTCATGGAGTTTTGATCTGAACTGGATTCAACTGGAAAGTTGATCTTTTTTCTCTGTGGTTCATTTTCATCCTGGAACCAGAAATGGTCTGAGAATGGAAACATGGGAATCATTTCCAGTTCAGCTTTAAAGTCATGAAAGACTCTTCAAACCTCTTTTCTCTGCTGCTTCCTTCTGTTGACATGAAAATGTTTCTCAAAGCTCCACAGATAAAAAGATGTTTTACTGGAAACGTCAGAGAAACTTCAGCTTCCACCACAGAAACCAGTTTAACCAGTTTAGAACTGGATGTCCCACAGAAACTCTTGATCTTGGAACAGTTTTCAGGAACATCCATCTTTTAATCTGAATAAAAATACATATATATTTTATAGTCATTCTAAAAGTATTTTAAAAATTAAGTTTTTCATCATAGTAATTGATTCTCAGTGCTTTAATATTTCTCAGTTTGTTTTTGGTGGTGAACTTTTTCAGTTTTCCAGTTAATCTAGAGAACATTAGGGGGAATGGAGACTCAATATGTCACATCAGGCTCTTTACTGTGGTTGTGCTGATTTATTCTGAATTCATGGGATAACGTGGTGACTGGTTCATATTATTCTGTTCATATTTATTTTAATGTAACGTGGGTTCCTCTGTGTTTAATGATGAGCTCATAAAGTTTTTCATAATGTTTTTGGTGGGGGTTTATACATTTTATTTTGTACAAATATTGTAACTACATCTTTATTTTAATCCTCCATGCTGTTCAGCTTTTTGTATTCAAATTAACAATGAATCCAAATATATTTTAAGTTTGTAAATTTTGTTTGACAGTTTCTTTTAATGAAATCAGAAACATACATTTTAGTTGATCTGAGAATTTTTAAGCTTCTAATTTTACGCAGCAGCTTTTTTTTGCATTATTTAGACTGAAGATGTTTAAATAAAATCCATGAGAATCATTTCATTAATAAATATTATGTTTCCTCCAAATTTCTTAGTGATGCTGACTCAAACTATCACAGTAGTTATTTTACTTCCCGGTATTTTATTTTGAAAGATCTCATAGGAAACGTATTTGTAAATTTTCTAACTTTATTATTTTTGTAATTACCAGGTTTCGCCACCAGAGGGACTGAACTCACTGCTGAGGTTCCTGGTCGCAATGGTAACCAATAAAGAAAGACTCGCTGCTGGGAATGATGCGAGTCTTTAGCGCGGAAGCTAACTGGTTTCCAGCTTCAAACCAGCGGGATAACTGATTCCCAATGATATAAATGAAGGCAATTCTTCTCCTGGGTTCATTTAAATGTTTTCTCTGTCAGTGTGAACTAGAAGCAGCTCCATAGAGTTGAAAACGTCCCGCAGAGACTCTGAGCGGAGCTAACGATGCTAACAGACTAGCAGCATCTTGTTTTACATAGAAGCTGATTGTCAGAAGTTTCGGATCTAAACTCTGATTCTGAACAGCAGCGACTGACCTTCAGTTCACTAATAATCGATCAAAGTTTTATTATCATAGAACTTTAAATTAAGCTGGTCTAAATGATTTTAGTATGTAGTTACATTGTGTCACCACAAGAGGGCAGTACACTGACAAACTGGCAAAAACAAAACCAAAAATGTAAATAATCTTCTGTTTACTATAATGCTAAAACATTTTTAAAGCTTCTTTGAGTTTTTAATTTTAATATTATTTATTATTTTCCATTAGATGGTTTTATTCTGCTCTAATCTCAGCTGGTTGACTTTCATGACTAACAAAAGACTTTCCAGACTTTGACTCTCAAAATTACTCACAGTTAATATTTTGTAAGGATTTTAACTGAATAAAAAATGTTTTATAAGTACATTTCTCTAATATGATTATTATTTCTAAGTAGTTGTTATTTACCCTGCGTTTCGAATAATTTTAATCATAAAATACGAATCCTAACTTAATTCTGCAGATCACTGTCTACAGAATTAAGTCAATATAACTAGTTTTTAGAAACAGTTTTGTGAAATGTATAAAGTTGATCAGTTTTATGATGGTTGAGGGAATTCTTACTGCCCTCTGGTGGTGAGCTTTCGTAACTACAGACATTTTTCAAATAAATTTTTCAGTCAGATGTTTTGTTTCTGTTTTAATGTTCACTTTATCAAGTCAGCAAATAAGAGTCACTGAAAAAAAACTGTACAGAGTTTTAACACAGCAGCTATCTTTTATGATTTAAAACTCTTTAAATGGCTTTAATATTATTTTTGATTATTTTATTACTTATCTTCTGGGTGAGAAGATCGTTAATTTTTCTCTATATAAATTGGATATTAAATGTAAATAACGCAGCATTATTACGGCTGTAGTTCCCACTATGGCCACCAGACGGCGGAAATACCCCGCTCTGAATATACAGGTGAGTTTTTGAGCTGCAGCTGGTCTCTCACTTCTGTGAAGTTGATCACGTTTTTCATGATACATATTACTATTAACATTAATAATTGAATGTTAATCATAACTGTTCTGCCTACTTTAACATGCAATCAGTGTTTTATCGGTCAGTATGAAGAAGGAGCTGCACAGAGTTGAAAACAGCCCGCAGAGACTATTAGCGGCTATCGCGATGCTAACAGACTCTAGCAGCAGCTTCAGAGGAGCTTTGGCTCCATAAGAGCTGAAACGAAGCTCTCCAATTCTGGTTTAGACTCTGAGCTTGTGGTTTGAGGCCAGGAGAATATTTATGATCGATTAAATCATCCTGGAAACATTCAGTAGATTGATGCACAACAAACAAACTGAACGTCTCTCAGAGCAGGGCGGTTATTGCCCTCTAGTGGACCGAGATGGTAACTGTAGCTACTATATAAAGTTAGACAATATAGAATAGAATAGCATTTATTGTCATTGAACAGGATTCAACGAAATTTCTATTGCACATTATACATACCACATTCACTTCCGGTACGTTCTTTCACATTAAGAGCTTAAAGGAGTTAATATTCTCGGTTAGCGTTCAAAATAAATAATGCTTTTAGTTTTCCTTTTTTCTCCCTGAAATGTTTAATCAAAAGCATCAAATTAAATTCTGCTGAATTTTTCAACCACCAACATTTAATTTTCCTATTCCTCTATAGTCATTTCAAACTGATAAAGGTATTTAAATAAAATTAACAGCAGCAACATCATATCATTGTATGTGTTATAAATTTAGTCACAGATTCATTCATACAATTTCATACGATTCATTCATAAAAGTCATACAATTTACTAAGTAGTAACTGGTAATGTTTTAAAATTTAACTTTTTATGTTTATTTTTTCTCCATTAGATATTTTCGTCCTGCTCAATGCTCTGATCTCAGCAGGTTGGATTTTATCATAAGCACATTTTCATTGTTTAAATTTTTCAGGCCTTGATTCTAAAAATTAACAATAGTTAATCTTTTTGGGAGGATTTTTCTGAAGTAAGTTTTATTTTATTTTCCATTTATTAACCTTGCAGTAGAAACTTTAATTTAAGTTGATTTTATGTGAACTGATAAAAGTGAAAATGAGAACAAATTAAGTTAAACAAATGATCTGGTTGAGAAATTACCATCAATAGGAATATCTGTAGTTGCAATATTTCACCACCAGAGGACAGTGAGCGCTCATAATCTACTTTCAAAAATAAAAATAGTTTGTTTTGTTGGTTTTCTGTTGAATCCATGAAAAAAACGGCTCTGTTTCATAACTGCTTCAGCAAAACAGAAATACTGAATGTTTTCTATCTTTATTCTAGTTTTGTTTCACTCTTGTCAGGTTTAACACCTATTAAATACAGATTCAACAAACACAGGAAAGACAAGAGATTTAGATTCTTTCTTACTAGCGAGGAGAACAGACAGAGATGTGCTTTCAGTCACAATCTCCTGCTGCTCTGAAACCACATTTGTCTGCTTCTCTCTTTTTATTGTTTTCAGGATCCCTAATCACAAAGAACACTGTAACTCTAAAGGGAGGGGAAAACACTTCATCACATGACTACAGCGCCAAAGACAATCACTAACTAAAGCACAAGGTATCTTGAACTTTATACTCTCATTCCAGACACAGGGTTAAACAGAGCAAGTTGTACATCTTCACAGTCAGTTTTCTAGAGGCCTTGGTTCACGCTGAGAGATAACCCTGCAGTAACCTGTTGTCACTGCTTTCCTTCAGTGAGGCTTTCTGAGGAAGGAATCAATTCAACAATACAGAAACATTCTTAATTCTAAGATGAAATTAAACAATAAAAGCATATGATTAATGTTATATGCTTTTATTATATAACATTAATAAGAAAAGATACATTATAAAGAATAACAAATATTTGATTAATAACATCACAATTTATCCAACAACTCTATTAACTCAAATTTGCAGAGAAATAAAAGTTGAACTTTTCTCCCTTTGCAACAGAAACTAAAACACTGAGTAACATTTACAAACTAATTCATTTCTTTTTTGAACAATAAACACTTTGTTGCCTGAAATATAATAATAGCATTTCTTTAATAAACTCTTTATAAATTGTAGCAAATAATTAATATTTCTAAAAACTCATGAGACTTCATAGAGTGCAGGACTGAGATGATTATTTCATTCAATTACTTAATTAGATGCAAAATTAATAAATTAGATAGTGAATAAGAGATTTTTATTTGCTTTACAGAATTTGTGAGATGTGAGGATACATATCATCGCATGGATCCTTTTTCCTCTCAGAGATCTTGTAGATCAAGGATTCTTTGCCTCAGAGTTACATTTTTCTTTCAAGCTGTTTTGAATATAATAACTAGGTTTGGGGGGCGTTAATATTTTAATCTATATCTGATATTCATGGACGGAAGTTGACGTCTTCTACAACAATAATGAGCAGTTCAGACTCAGTGAATCATTTCTGAGTACGTCTTTCTCAGCACCGGCTCCATCTTCTGTGTCCAGGATCCACTGATTTGGAAGGACAATTATCAAAATTTTAAAATACATGACAGCCAAGAGGAATCGTGTTGATAAAAGTCATCCTTTCATGTTTTGAAATTTTTTGGGGGGTTTGAATTCTGTTTCTGTAAACATATTTACGCACGAGAGGAAAGAGAGACAAATTTTCTGTAGATTGTTTGGTGGAGATGTTTTTAATCCTGCAGAAATTGAAGGGAGATTATCCCCATTTCTGAACTTAAACATGTGTTCTGGTGAAGCAGCAGTCACATTGAAACATTGAAGTATTATGGATATATGATTTTATGTTGTTCCTTTTAGTCTGCTTCCAGGAAGACGTCCTGCTCCATTTTTATGTCAGTCTGCATGACTTGTTAGATTTGATCCTTTTCTTTATGCTGAACAAAATGTGTTTATTTGTCAAGGTGAAACGTCTGAGGGGTTTTGTTTGAGTCCAGTGACCAAAATGGAGCTGATAAGAACAGGAAGGCCCAACATTTTTGCAGGGAAAGTCAATTATCTCTGCAGGTTTTCCATGAAAACTAACTGGTAAGTCGTTGTCAGTTTGAGATTTTCTTCCCTCTGTGTCCTTCCAGATGAGACGCAGCCACGGGAAAACAAAAAGACCAATGTTCACGTCCTCTACGGAACCAGAGACGGGACTTTCAGACGGGGAAACAGAACAGCCTTACCTCTGGTCATGTGCTCGGCCTCGTACATTTTGGGTGAGCCGTTGGACGCCAGGCAGCTGTAGCGACCGCTGTCCTCTTTGCTTTGAACTCCTGCGGAAAAGCAAAACTTCAACTGGGAATCCAGAAAATTAACCACCTGGCAAAACGAAATGTTACAATGGATTTTACACAAAGTCATGTTTGAATCACGTTTTTCTAGCATATTTTAGACCAAAAGTAGTAAAACAAAGTAAAGCGGCTGGTTCAGAATGCTGGCGCTCACATTCTCACTAAAACCAGAACCATGGAGCGGTTCTAAGGTAGAACACTTTCAAATACTCTTACCACTGAAATACATTAAGGACTTGTTGCGTCAACCTTCCAGACCACCCAGGTTGTGGTCTGTTCTGCATGCTGATAAGCAGCATTCAGCTTCTACTCACTGCTAACCTGGAACAAACTGTCAGAAGATGAAACCCTGAGTGAAAACTCATCTGCTTAGCCTGGTTTTAATGATGTAAAGCACTTCCAGCTGTCTCCTGTGTGTTATACAAATAAACCTGGCCTCAGTTTGAGATGATGAAAAAGAGGTTTTATATGGATGGTCTGAATTTGAAAACATTTAAAATCCTGCATATGATAAACTGTCTTTAACCTCAGTTTAGTAAGATAAACGCTTGAGCCGCCTTCTGTTTCTCCCCTCATCTGCATGCGGCCTCACCAGTATTCCCGTGTGGGAGTTGATTAGATGGGTCGCGTTGGCGTGACGAGGCTTGCTGGTTGACTTGTTGTCCTTGAACCAGGAGTGCGCGGCGGGCGGGACGCTCTGCTGGTCCCGACAGCGCAGCTGGACCGCCGAGCCCGTCACCACCAAGGCAGGGACTTCACATGTGGGAGTTTGCAGTGGCACTGGGTGACAAAGTAAGAAAGGGTGAGTCAGAACTTTGGTTTGTCCAAAAAAAAAAAAAAATCAGTTTATGTTTGTTCCTTACCCAAGACGTTGAGGGTCACATTGGTCTCGCCCAGGCTGACCGTGTCCAGGGACGCACTGATCTCGCAGCGGTGCTCTGGCGTCCTCCTGGGTCACTCTGTGCAGGGTCACTCTCTGCTGGGTCACTCTGTGCAGGGTCACTCTTTGCAGGGTCACTCTGTGCAGGGTCATCGTCGTCCCGACCATGGTTGCTCGGCCTTCGAAGGGACCTGGGAGGAATGTTGGAAGGTCTTGAAAGCTGAGAACATTGCAGAAGAAAGACTTTGCAATTTTTAATTTTTTTCCCCCATAGTAGCAAATTCAACTGCAGTCAACTTTACTCAGAGCTGGTTTTAAGTCAAAACAAGTGAAGTGATATTGAACTGAATGGATGTTTTCTCAGTTGTAGAGGTTCTGAAACAGAACAGAACGGAGGATTTGGTCAAATTTGCAGAAAAGTTGGGTATGATGAGTGGATTTGCATCAATGATACCAACTTAACTTGCCAGTTTCATAGTGTTAGCATTCAGAGCTGAAGCTCAAATAAACATGCTTCTTAATGAAGCAAGAGCCACAACTGGCTAATGAAGTGGAGGAGGTGGCAATAGGTCAAAGACAATCATTAACAGGATCTGCCTGCTGAGAGCTTGTGTTCATTACAATTCAGACTTAAAGATGGAAGGTTAAACTTCCACCACACCACTGACCTTCATCAGTAGTTGATGATTAAATCAGCTTATCTGATGTATGAGTGGGACGCAGCTGGGATTAAAACGAACCTCTGAAGCTTCCTTCAAAGTAGACGAAGGAGACATCTTTTGTCTTCTTCTTCCACTTGATGCGCGGGTTCGAGTCTCTTTCTGTGTGGAAGAGGCACAACAGCTCTGCATCTGAAAGGTGGGAGAGCGGGACCAATCAGGGGCCTCCATTTTAATGGCCTGGTCTATGCTTTACTGTCGTGCAGAAAGTGGACAGAGGTCATAAGGTTCATTATTAAAGGATTGTGACAGGAAAACATGTTTATATTTGTTTGTGCCATTGTCACTGAAGGCCTCTACATCGGTAGAGA